AAGAAGAGATTGGATTTATACCCCGCCCTTCACTCGAAGTCTCAGAGCGGCTTACAAACTCCTATCCCTCCCCCTCCCCACAACAGACACCCTGTGAGGTGGGTGGGGCTGAGAGAGCTCAGAGAGAACTGTCCTTGAGAGAACAGCTCTGACAGAGCTACGGCTTGCCCAAGGTCATCCAGCCAGGTGCAAGTGGAGGAGTGGGGAATCAAACCCGGTTTTCCCAGATTAGAGTCTGCGCACTTAACCACTACACCAAACTGGCAAGCAAGGAGAGAGCCCAGAAGAAGAGAAACTTTGAGAACACGTCCTCACAATGCAGCGGCAAAGAAAGGACTGAAGGAAAGGGGGGCTCCTCCCTGGAAAGCACGTGACCATTAGGTGGGAAGATCGCCTCTAAAGAGCACTGGAGGGGCTCCCACTGGAGTTTTAAAAAGATACCAGAAGAGCTGTAAGAGAGCCTCCGGTGGCTGTCCTGCACAAGCACAGTCCCAATGTGAGAATGCACAGAAGATAGGGTTGCCAGCCTCCAAGTGGGGCCTGGGGATCTCCCGCTTTTACAACCGATCTCCAGCTGACAGAGATCAGCTCCCCTGGAGAAAATGGCTGCTTTGAAGGGTGGACTGTATGGCACTGCACTATGCTGAGGCCTTTCCCCTCCCCAACCCCCACCCTCTCCTGGCTCCACCCCCAAAGTTTCCAGCTATTTTCCTACCCAAACCTGGCAACCCTAACAGAAGACTGAATGTCTGCCTCCCACCCTAACAGAAGATGAATGTCTGCCTCCCACCCCGAAAGAGCCACAGGGAAGAGAAGAATTTTTGAATAAGAAAAAAAAGCATCTGGTTTCCCCACATCTTCATAGTTGGCACTGAACACCAGCCCTGGGGCTGCCGAATCAACCAGTGTTTTCCTGGTAGGGTTCCCAGGTCCTCCCTGGCCACTGGCAGGGAATGGGCCAGGTAAAGTCCCCATGTCCATGTTGGGAACTCCTGGAGATTTGGGGATGGAGCCTGGGGAGGACTGGGACCTCAGCGGGGTACAGTGCCACAGAGTCCACCCTCCAAAGCAGCCATTTTCTCCAGAGGAACTGATCTCTGTAATCTGGAAATGAGCTGTAAATAAGCTCTGACAGAAACTGCTCTTTTTCGAGAGCTGTATTTGTTGTTCAGTCGCACAGTCGAGTCCGACTCTTTGCGTCCCCATGGACAAGATCACGCCAGGCCCTCCTGTCTTCCGCCGTCCTCTGACGTTTGCTCAATTTCATGTTCGTTGCATCCATGACACTGTCCAACCATCTCATCCTTTGCTGTCCCCGTCTTCTTTGACCTTCAATCTTTCCCAGCATCAGGGTCTTCTCCAGTGAGTGCTCCCTTTCTCATTGGGTGGCCAAAGTATTTGAGCTTTAGTTTCATTATCTGGCCTTCCAGGGAACAGTCAGGGTTGATTTCTTTTAGGATTGACTGATTTTATCTCCTTGCAGTCCAAGGGACTCTCAAGAGTCTTCTCCAGCACCATAGTTCAAAAGAATCTATTCTTCGGCGCTCGGCCTTCCTTATAGTCCAACTCTCGCAGCCATACATGACTACTGGGAATACCATTGCTTTGACCATGCGGACTTTTGTTGGCAGGGTAATTAGTGGTCCGTAAACCAAATATTCTGGACTGGGGGAGTTTTTAGGCTCTGGTTCAACATTCAGGTAAAATGCCCAAAAGTCTGAAATGGCCCAAGCATTCTCGAGACCTCTGGGTCCTACTGGCTATGTGGCAGAACCCAGGGTAGCGGTGCCATCCTCTAGATGATGCCTGGACCACAGCATTGGACCCTGTCTACATATTCCTACAAGCTATATACTGTTCTTTAGGTTTTTGTTATCAATTTACTATAATTAATAAGATACACTAGGGTCTTTATTGTACATTTAAGTATATGATTTAAATGAGTATATGAAGGCAGAGTAAGGTAGAGGTAAAAGTTTCCCTTGCTCGAAAGCCAGCCATATCCGACTCTAGGGTTGCGGTGCTCGCTCAGGTTCCTGTCCTCCATCCCCAAATTTCCAGGAGTTTCCCAAACTGGATAGGGCCATCCTGGGCCCCCACACCACCCCCGCTGGTGGACAGGGAGGACCTGGCAACCCTAGGGTGGACTCTGCTGAGACCCCCTTCCCTTCCCAGACCCCACCCTTCCCAGCCTCCAACCCCTTAATCTCCAGGTATTTCCCACCCAGAGCTGGTGACCCTAAACCTGAGAACTTTGCTTCCTTCTACTAGCCCCCCCCCCTTTTGGCTACAGAAGAAGGAAGGGGGGTGAGCAAGGGCACCGGATCCCCTTTTTATTAATCAGTTTTCCCCCAAAATCTATTTCAAAATGTGCCTGGGAAATTCTCCCCTCTCTAGCTGCTCACTTCTCCACCTCTTTGGCTACTGAAGAAGGAAGGGGGGTGAGCAATCCCTATTTACCGGCCTCTCCACTAGCCGTGTCTTTTGTCGAGTGAATTGTACCTGGGGTTCAAAGGAACTCACTTCCTCCTTCTGCCATTACCAAATCAGAACACAGCCATCTTTCCCCCTCCTGATCTGCCAGATCCTTTCAGGGTCTACCCTGAAATCCTCCAAGATCAGACTTAGTTCCACTTTGGATCCCACTCAGGACAGACACAGTTTTTTTTGTATCAAAAGGGGATACCTCCTAGGAAGAACAGAAGGAGAGAGCTAGTGAACTAGCAGGAGCTAGGTGGAGTTTATTCAAATCATTTCATGCAGGGGTCGTTTCGTAGAAAAAGAGGTGCAGGAGCTCATTAGCATAACTTATTTGCATATGCCACACCGGCTGACATCACTGGAAGTGTGTCAGAAGGCAACACCCACCGCTCAGGCTCCACTGGACTATTTTGGATTGCTAGCTATGGGAGGGGGTGGAAACGTGCAGATCTGTCCTCACAGAAAAGGGAAAGCTTGTACCTGAATAAAACTTGGTCTTAAAGGTGCCACTGGACTGTTTTGGGGCGGGGGGAGCTCTGCAACTTACCTGGCTGCTTCATGCTCTGGCTGAGGGCTGCTGGGAGCAGGGGGCGGGGCTTGTTGCATGTGCCCGCCCCCTGGGCTCTTTACTGCCGGTGAGGTCAGGACTGCCCCATTGACATGTTGAGCGGCTGCTTCGAACAGTTTAAAACAGTTTGCAAATGGGCCCTTTTCACAATAAATGTATGAGGACAACCCTAGCAGCTCTCATCAAAGGGAGGTTTGTTTGCATGGAGCAGTTCAGAAAGCAGCATGAGCAGCCCAGGCTAGCTTGAGCTGCTCAGAGCTTGGAAGCTAAGCAGGGCTGGCCAGGTTATACTCAGGTGGGAGACCTCCAAGGAAGACCCAGGACTGCTCAGCAGGGGAAGTGGCAAACCAAATATTCTGGACTGGGGGAGTTTTTCCCGGCTCCGACGACCCAGGCCTCTCTCTCAGGGCCCCACTCAACCCCCACCCAACAACTTCCCCGCTTACCACGGCCGACGACCTTAGTGGACGGCCGCAGGGCTCCGGGCCGGCTCACGGGCCGGCTGGCAGGGAGAAGGAGGAGGACGGGAGCAGCAGGCACCCCGCCGCAACAGAGCCCCTTCCCCACCGGGCACGTCCCCAGGTACAAGGCAGCAGGGCGAGCCTCCAGGAGACACCGCTGCCGAGGCCCATGGGGCCTTCACTCCCCGGCATAGACGACTGTGCCGCGTCGCCCGGCACGCTTCCGGCCTAGGGCGGGGTCGAGTCACCCCCACGCTGGGCAGAGCGTCAACGCTCTTATAGGGAGGCGGAGCCACCGGTGATGGACAACCAGGTGGCCAATAGAAAAGAGGAGTTGGGTGGGGGGCAGGATAAAAAGGGGGAACGGAAGGGAGGCTGGGGAGGAAGAGAACGAGAGCCGAACAGAGAGACGGGCCAGTTGAGAGTCGCAGGGAGAGGTGACGCCGTGGATGTCCTCAGAGGTTCTCGAGGGTGCAGGCTTGCCTTCGGTGACGGAACCTGGCCGCCGGCCCTATTCTGAGGTCTCCCGTTCCCCTGGTGTAATGTACTCCGCCATTACCACGTGCGCGACCGTTGGGCCATGCGGTCAAGCACAAGCCCAAAGCTTCGTACATTTAGAACAATAGCCAAGCGGGTCCTAGCCCGCACCAATCAGAGGGCCAGGTCGGCAGCCGAGAGCCTATGGGACTCTCGGCTTCTGTAAATAACCTATAGGGTGAATAGGGGGGGTGTTTTGGTGGTGGGTTTCTGTGCATATATACTGGCCTGCGCGCCGGCTTACTTTGTCTTGTTCCTGATTGAATAAAGTACTCTTGCTGAAATCACTCCACGTTTCTGAGTACTTTTCACCTGTAAAGGGGAACGCCAATCCCTGGGACGGCGACTGGAGGCAAGGACGCCTCCCTTGAGCCGACAGAGGCGTCACAAACTATAACTTGCCCAGGTGCCCCACAGCTGTAGGGAGCCCAGGCAAGCCAGCCCTTGGAGGGGAGGGGAGGCAGTTTAAACTGCCTTCCCTTGGCTTGCCTGGGCAAGCTGGCCCTTGGACAGGCCAGGGAAGGCACAGGGAGGCATTTAAATGCCTCCCTGATCCTTCCAGGGCCCTCCCTGGTCCGTCCGCCTCGGAGTCGCAGTGGGGGGGTCGCTCTCCAGGCCTTCCCTCTGTAGCCACGCACATGCAGAGGTTTTGGCTGTAGTGGGTGTGGCCAACTCTGAAGCCAGCCGGAACTCCGTTCCTGTGCGTTCCTGCCCAAAATGAATGTATTATTAAATTATATATGGTATTTTATACATTGCTGCTACATGCATAGTTGTAGTTTACACTCTTTTTCTTTTTGTTCCAGCCTTTTTTGGTTACCACTTTTCAGAATAAGACTAGAAAAAGAGACAGAGCCCCCCTTCAGAAAACATATTTTCTTAAGATGTAAACGATAGGGGAAAGGGAAAGGAAGGGGCAAACAAAGGTATCTGGAAATCATACCTGCTCCTGCCTACTCTGAGTCTTTAATTTGGATATCAGGTTCAGATTGGGTGTCCTCAACTTGGAACATGACCCTGGAGACACTGAAAAATAAGGAAGGGATACCAGAATATGTTAATGTCCAACAGAATCTGCACCAGAGTGACCAAGCCTGTTTCAGTTCCATAATCAGGCCTGAAACAAGGTTAGAAAGGCCCCAAACAATCCGATTCATCCAGGAATGCTTGACATCCAGACACTACCTGTTTAATCTTCTTGCACAGGAATGAGATATCTGATGCAAGAGATATTGAGAACTAAAATACCATTTTTGCCTGAAATATTATTACCAAACATATTTCCAAAGGAGTTTGATAAAGGTGATAGATATTTGATAGTACACCTAACTACTGCAGCAAGAATATTATATGCAAAATATTGGAAACAAATGGAAACACCAAAGAAGCAAGAATATGTGAATAAACTGTTGGGGACGGCTGAAAATGACAAACTGTCATCGTTGATGAGAGGGACAACAGACCCAACATTTCAAAAGACGTGGAAAAAACTGTATGATTGGTACAATATAAATGCATAGCTTAAAGTAATGAAATTTTTGGTATTATTAATCTTTTTAAGTTAAATAGAAACTATGGTAATGAAAAGATAAGAGTATACAGAAACTTAAGCAAATTTATAGAAATTCTTTAAATATGGTAATAGAGTTATAAGAAAACATACTGATCTTTTTGTATGTTTTATGTGTGTAAGTGGATGTTTGTTATGTAGTATGTTTGTTGGTGTATAATATGAAAAATAATAAAAGTGTACCTTATGGGTACTTAAAAAAAAAAAAGAATGAGATATCTGAGACTAGTTGATAGTCATTGAGATCTCCTGGGTCCAGGATAGGTTTCTTTAGAAGTGGATACACCACAGCCTGTTTCAAGGATGGAGTGACCACCCCCTCTCTCAAGGAGGTATTTATTACCCCTTGGACAACCTCCTCCCCCACCCAGCAGATTTAAGTAGCCAGGAAGGGTCATACGAGCAAATGCTAGGCCTCAGATCTCCAAGTCTGTGTGCAGCGTAAATAATTTTAGCTTCTCCTTTTAAACAGCAGATCCCAATTATGGAAAGAGTCTTTTGAGACTCCCCCGGATTTCTGAAATGGTTGGTTGGCAGGGGGGAGTGGATGTACTGCTGTTCAAGAAGGACAAGTAGCATAAAGGACAACATTGTCCCATGTAGCCTTGCCAATTACCTGCTTATTGCCATACTCCACATCTCCCACCCATGCTCAATGCAGCAAGGGGAAAATGGGGGGGGGGGGAGAAAGGTAAAACAATGATCTAGGAATCACCATAAATCTCTGTGGTAAAAGCCATAGAGACTGGTGTGATTCCTAGAACGTTACTCTATGGATTGACATCACGTCTGGATTTTTACCTGGAAGTGATGTTGTGCGATGTCTTTTCTCCTACACTCTGTCCCCCAAAGTCTCCCTAGAGTCCCAGGCCCTGTCCCTGTCAACCCTCGTCCTATGTAGGGTTTCCAGCTTCCAGCTTGGGCCTGGAAATCACCTGGGACTACAACTGACCTCCAGACTACAGAGATCAATCCTCCTGGAGAAAATGGCTGCTTTGGAGAGTGGAATCTATGCCATGATAACCCTCTGAGGTCCCACCCCAGTCTCCACCCAAATTCTCCAAAAATCCCCAACCCAGAGTTGACAACCCTAATCTGATGTCAAGTTAGGATGGAACTGGTGATCACTGGCTAAAGCAGAAACAATATTACAATAAGAGGGTTATAAGAAGAAACGTAGGACATGATCTTACAGGTTCTTTTCGGCACTAGACCTTAAATCCCGGTTCAGCCTGTCCCTGAACTTACATTCTGCACTACACTCAAGTTCACCCCTGGAATTATCTCAGGGTATTTTTGTTGCTTCCACGTTACATTAAGGTCACCCCGGTTTTGCCCCACACTTGTCCCGCGATAAATGGATGCTGTTAGAGATAAATGCAAGGTATTGTGTCATGAGTTGAACTCTGATAAAACCAGGGATGAGATCCAAGTGCGGAAAGGACCTTAGAAGGCTTTTTAAATAAGCATCTTAGGCTCTGGTACAAAAATGTTCAGGTTTGACTCTGCTGAGGGAATTAACTCAAAACGCCAAGCAGAAAAATAAAGCATCCTACAATATTAAGAGGTTGTTATATGGCAGTTGAGAGGAAGGAAATGACATCATCAGTGTAAGCAATTAAAATTTAGCTAGGGAGGGACGGTGGCATGCTATAGCCCAATATCGTCAGATCCTGGAAGCGAAGCAGGGTGGGTACATGGAAGGGAGAGCACCAACAAAGACTCTGCAGAAGGGGGCCATGGCAAACCACCTTTGCTTCTCATTTGCCTACGGGGATGGCCACACGGCGGCTGCTGCTTGACAGTGCTTTATACTCACCAAATGTGGCTAATAGCAATTTTTCTTTCTGGCTCAGCAAGATCCTTCCCGGGGGGGGGGGGGGCGTCTCACCTTTTCCTGACTTTGTCCACTCTCTCTTCCATAGCATCCTTTCTGTTGTCACTTGTGACACGATACACCCGGGTATGGCTGCAAAACACACAGAGATATATATCAGTGGTTTTATGCGGGTTTATTTTCCTTCTGCTTCGCAGGGCACCAAACAACGATCAAATCAATTATCCCTCAAGTCCACTTTCCCTACCAGAGAAATTTTAAAGGCCTGAAACCACGATAATATGGCTTACCCATAAGCTTTGCTGTACGGCGTATGCTTCAAACTATTTATCCGACAACTACTTTGCAAAGTAAAGGTAAAGGTTTCCCTTGCTCGAAAGCCAGTTGAATCCGACTCTAGGGTTGCGATGCTCATCTCCGTTTCAAAGCCGAAGAGCCAGCGCTGTCTGAAGATGTTTCCGTGGTCATGTGGCCGGCATGACTAGACACCAAGGCGCACGGAACGCTGTTACCTTCCCACCGAGGCGGTACCTATTGATCTCCTCACAATTTCTTGCTTTCGAACTGCTAGGTTGGCAGGAGCTGGAACTAGAGACGGGAGCTCACTCCGTCATGCGTCAACTCGGGTCTTGAACTGCTGAACTACCGACCTTCCAGAGCCTGCAGTTCAGCGTCTTAACCACTTGAGCCACCGCAGCTCAAAGTAGATCACTGTTATTCCTGTTCTACAGATAGGGTTGCCAGCCTCCCAAGTGGGGTCTGGAGATTTCCTGGCAGTACAACTCATCTCCAGATGACAGCGATCAGTTCCCCTGGAGAATATGGCTGGACTCTATGGCATTCTACCCCACTGAGGTCCCTTCCCCACCCCTACCCAAACTCCTGTTGTAGAAACGCAGACTGCAATGTGTACCAAGAACGTGTTGGAAAATGCATCTGCACACAAACTTTACAGAAAGTGACCGTGGATCTCTAAAGTACGTGGCACAAAATGTTCCATGCAACAACGTCATGGAACAAAACCAAAATGTGGAATGGCTGCCATTTCTCCAACTCTACTCCAGGGTTCCTTGGAAAACAGTTTGGAAAAGAAACCCGTGTAAAACGTTGAACTGTGTGATCCCTTGGCAATTTACGTCGTCGGTGGATCTGCCTTGAGCACTACCGCCCACCTCAAGATCGACATATCTTTGACTTTGTCTATAATTTTAATATGGTTTCCGTATAGAAAGAAAAAGAAGAGCGGCAGATACTTAAAGTTTTACCTCCATCTGATGAACTGGATCCTTGTCCTGTCCTCGGCCAGATCTTGGCTGGATGATGATGTGAGTTTTGTGCGAGACTCGTGAACAATCCGCTACGAAAAAGGATGCAGATGGTCTGGTTACTTGTAGCAACAACAAAAAAGCCTTGTCCAAAAATTTTAAAAAATTCACAGTATCAAACTTCACTGAATCAGATGTCATTTTGCTTTTTGGCGAAAAAAATACATCAAATCAATTTGAGCTTTTATTCTATGAGCTGCTTTCCCCCCTGCAAGGACACACAACCACATTTCATAGGGTTGCCAGCTCTGGGTTGGGATATTCCTGGAGATCTGGGGTTGGACCCTAGGGAGGGGAAGGAGTTCAGCCATTTCCTCCAGGGGAACTGGTTTCTGTTGTTGTTGAATACTGGGTTCTGGATGCATTGCAGTGATCAGCTCTAGTTTATTTAGTGATTTCAGGAAAACAACAAGAACACCCAGCAAGGTTTGAGCCCTGCTTATAAAGCATGCAGACACCACACCCCACACACCCCTCTCCCTAGGATAAGCTATTTACATTACACTGCTTATCTATAGGTCAGTGGTGGCGAACCTATGGCACGGGGGTGCCAGAGGTGGCACTCAGAGCCCTCTCTGTGGGCACATGTGCCATCGCCCTAGCCAGGCCCAGACCATCATAAAAGTGTCAAATTCTCTGCCACATAATTTTAAGTAAATGAAAGCATTTGGGATTGCTTTCCTTACTTTGTTTGGATCATCTTCAGTTAATGTATGGGTTGTTTTTTTTCTAAAGTAAAACCTCAGTATTCAGGTTAAATTGCCATGTTGGCACTTTGTGATAAATAAGTGGGTTTTGGGTCGCAGTTTGGGCACTCGGTCTCTAAAAGGTTCGCCATCACTGCTATATGTCAATTCCAGGATCCTGGTCAGCTATTGTTCTTGGGGAACAAGCTCACCCAGTTCAAGGTCCCCATTCAGGGATGGCTTAGGCTCAATACATAACAGTTGTCTTGAGAATAGTTATAATAACACGAGATGTCCAGGCACTAACTGGAGGTTGGCAGCCTTAAACACATAAGATCCTGAACTGGTAACCAGAAGGCTTTCGCACTGGGCACCACAATCTAATGTGGTTCAAAAACTGAGAAATGCCATACCATGCAAGGAAGCCAAGAAGTTAGAATGGGTAAAGTGATCCTCCTTGACCACTAGAAAAAGCTTCCAGCTAAGGCTTGAACAGCTCGGGGACTTGCTCTTGCAAGACTCAACATACCTTGTACTTTTTAAGCCTTTCCTCCATCCCCTCTCAATTAAACTGAACCTGGGTCTGAGAGCCCTCTTTCCACAGGCAGGACTCACCCTGGGTGGCCTTCTGTCTTCAAAGTTTTCCCAAGATTCTGGCTTTGATCTTGCAGCTGCCAAATCTTGGCCCACAGATGGGAAAGCTTGGATCTCGTTTTTGGTTTCCTTCTTGCTTTCTGTCTTGTTTTCTGGTTTCTGCTTAAAGAGCTTAGTTGCCTCCTGTTCAATCTGGGTAGTGAGAGACAGACACACAAAGACCAGTGTTTTCACCAACCAGTCAAAGCACCAAGGCCCTGACCAATAAAAAGGAGTCACATGTAATTCCTGTTCAAAACACTTATCACCAGGGCTTTTTTTGTAGAAAAAGTCCAGCAGGAACTCATTAGCATAATAGGCCACACCCAGCAGCAGAAACTCATTAGCATATTAGGCCACACCCCTGATTGTACCACTCATTAGCATATTAGGCTGCGTTCCCATGTTACCGGAAGTGTGGTCATCCAGCCACACCCACCTTTTGCTTCTTATTCTGTTTACCTTGTTTGTGGTCAAAACCCAGGGCCTTTTTTTATTGCAGGAACTCCTTTGCATGTTAGGCCACACACCCCTAATGTAGCCAGTCCTAATGAGTTTCTACTGCTGGGTGTGGCCTATTATGCTAATGAGTTCCTGGTGGGTGTGGCCAACTTGGGAGCCAGCCGGAACTCTGTTCCTGTGCGTTCCTGCCCAAAAATAGCCCTGCTTATTACCATTATTCATTTATACAGAACCTAGGGTAGCTAGGAAGGAGTTCAGGGGAGCGGCGACATGGGGTGGGTGTCAATGGCAATGGCAACAGCATAATGTCAATTCTGGGGGGGAACCGAAAGTGACATCACGCATCAGTAGGAATTGCTGGACACTCTATGGTAAAACACCAGAGTTTCCGGTGATTACTAGAGAGGTCTGATGTCACTTCCAGGTATTCCCCAGAAGTGACACCATGCCACTGCTTCTGGCTTTTTTCACTATTATTTTTCTCCCACTAGCTGCAGGCGTGTCCATGGGAAATAGGAGCTGGGAGGGTGGGATTCACTGCCCACAGCAGGAAATTTGATCTGATTTATTAAATTTCTACCCCACCCTCCCAGTCTCGGCCGGCTCAGCTTTGAGATGCAGGACCATAGAGAGACCCAGCTGGGTAGCCATGTTAGTCAGTCTGTAGCAGTAGAAAAGAGCAAGACTCCAGTAGTAACTTAAAGACTAACAACAATTGTGGCAGGATATGAGCTTTGATGAGTCACTGCTCATTTCTTCAGATACACCTAGAATGTGAGTCCATCTGTCCTTATATCTCAGAGAGTGGAAAAATTTCAGATGCTGAAAAGATGCTGACAATAGCAGGTGAATGACAATAGCAGGTGAGATTGGACTGGGTGTGATATGCAGAGGGGTAGTAGATGTGGCAAAATCAGCATTGGTAATGAGACAGGAAACCTAGGTCTTAATTCAGTCCATTGTCTTGAGCTTCATTCTCAGTTGCAATTCAGCAGTCTCTCTTTCTAATCTCCTTTTGAAATTCCTTTGTAAGAGAACTGCTACTCTTAGGTCAGCAACTCAATGTCCTGGAAGGTTAAAATGCCCCCCCCCCCGGTTTTTGAATGTTGTGGTTTCTAATGCAACTGATTTTGTTAGGCCCCGGTCACACGCGAGGATTTGGGCCGGGAGAGGGACGGATCGGATGCGCGGCAAATGGGCGCGATCCCACAGCAACATCTGGGAAGCGTTGCCTGCCCGTCACCGATCCGTCCCTCCCGCCCAAAACCCCGCACCAAAAAAGAATCACCTACCTGGGTGGTTCATCCAGAAAGGCCGCGGCAAGTGCGGCCGTGGGATCGCCGGCGCGTCCTTCCACCGGCGCATCCCCGGCTCCTGGCTGAACTGCGCATGTGTAAGCATGCGCAGTTCGCCAGCCTCCCTCTCCCACCGTTGCTTTCTCCCCGGCATCTGACCTTAGTCTTTTAAGGTGCTACTGTATTCTCGCTCTAATCAGGTGGGTAGCCCTTTTGGTCTGAAGCAACAAGAACGAAGTCTGAGTCCAGTGGCACCTTTAAGACCAACAAAGTTTTTCTGGGTGTAAGCTTTCGCGTACCCAGAATTAAACTTTGTTGGTCTTAAAGGTGCCACTGGACTCAAACTTTGATCTCTTGTGGAAAGTTACCCCACTAGGTTCCCTGCTCCATTACCAGCATGTTAAAGGATAAAAACACATATCCTTAAACCCATTTCTCCCCCTTCCCCTTTACAGTGCTAACCACAGCATGGGAAGAGATTTCATCAATGAAACCATGGGGGTTGAAGGGTAAATCCCCCCCACTCCTCTCTGCCCAGGTCTCATCTGGAATGGGGCTAAGCATGTGAGCCATTTAACTTTTATGGGCAGATGGAAATCGGTGATATTTGGCCTGCCATTTTAGCCTGAGACATCAGTATCTTTTGACTAACAACTTTAGGCTGGACTGTTCTCCAGTTGGACGGAATTTCGTCGCCACTACCCTGACCGTGACACTCACCTTCTGCAGCCAGTGCTCCAGTACAGATGCTGCCTCTGTCTCAATGACATTAATGCTCTTAAAGGGAAAAAAAGGGGGGATAAGAATTTAGGAGAATCAGAATTATGGTCCCCAACACAGGCACTCCTCCCCCAGTTTCTTCCCTGGCCCATAGAATTGAGCACAACCCTCTCCAGGTGTGCTTACTGGAGTCTTGTCCAATTGAAAAGAGTGGCCAGTAGCTCTATGGAGCAAGAGAAAACCCGCCCATGTAGTAACGATCATCCTAAGGCATCTTATGAGTTCAGGGAATCGGACCTTTCTCCCGTTTCACCACAAAGTGTGCCTGCCATTCAAAAACAGTAGCCTGAACAAAGGGAGAATTCTAGCACACTGTGTCCATCTGTGGAGATGAGACAGGGCAGCATTGTGGCATAGGGAAGCACAATGCATTGCCTAGGCAACTGTGATGTCATAATGACTTGGAGAAAGATTGATACTTACTGACTAGCTGCATCACCTGGGATGGAAACTTCTAGTTTGTTTATATTATAGAGTCACAAGCTGCCATCGTCTTCTAGAGCTTAAGGCCTTTTATGGGTGGGTGGGGGGTTTGCCATCAAGTAGGGGTGTGTGGGGGATTCGGCTTTTTTCTGATTCTGGTACAATTAAATCAATTTTTTTTAATTTCTAAGTATACCCAAATACTACTACCAGTAATACATTGGTAACCAGAAATATTGGGGAATACCAAAAAAAATCAGTTCCATTATATTCTATGGGGCCATTGTAGCCAATAGCAAGCAAAATCTTCTAAGGAATATTCAGTGGGCTGGGCGGGGGAGGTTCGAGGTAGAGGCACCAAATTTGTATTGTAGCTGCTGGAGCCTCTCCTCAAATGAACCTCCAAGTTTGGAAAAGATTGGTCCAGGGGGTCCAATTCTAGGGGCATCCAAAGAGGATGCTCCCATCTTTCATTATTTCCAATGGTGGGGGAAAAGATAGGCAGATAAAACAACAGCAAGCAGTTTCTCCCAGATAATCTGCAGTAGAAACTGTGCGGTGTGGTGTGGTGTGAGGGGGCATGTTTGCAAGGCTAATAGCAGAACCAGTGCAATGTGCCCACCAGAACCACCCCCAGGCCCCAACCCACCAGCCTACAACAAAATGAGAAAAGTTTTAAAAAACTAGCCCTAATCAGTCAAACCAATGGATGTCTTCAGTCTTCTGTTCTCTAGCCGGTGGGATCTTGATCTGAAGTAGTTCAAATTAGTGTCTCAGGCAGCAGGAAAGTCAGGCTCAAAGCAGTAACTGAAGCAGAAGCCAGTCACACAATCTCCAACCAAAGCACTCTCAGCAGGAATGGAGTCAGCCAGTCAGACCCCTGCTTTTATGCTCTCTGGCCATACACAGAAGAATTTCAAAAAACAACAACAAACTTCTGTGATTGGCCAAAGAGAAGAGTGCCCACCCTTACCTGTAATCCTATTGGCTAGTGCTCCTCTCCCCTCCTGCCCCTGAGAAAGCAAGCTAGTAGTTGGGCTTCAAGTTTGAAGTCAGCAGCAACAACAGCCTTGCAAGCTGCAATACCATTTGTAAATGCATTGCAGTGATTGGCTGTATGTATTGTTCCTCTTCCCCTCCCTCCTGTAAAGCAGAGCAAAGGGTGGGAAAGAGAAGGTAAGTGCAGCTCTTTAAAGTTTTAACCCCCCCCAGCCTGTATTTGGCTATGCCGAATAATGCTGAATAAAAGCCAGATAGTTTTGGCTTTTATTCAGCATTCTATATTGAACAGCTGAATCAGATCAGAGATTCTGATTCAGCTTACCGATTACCGGAAAAATGCCAAAAAGATTTGGCTTTACCGCATGCACACCCCTACCGTCAAGTCACAGCTTACTTATGGTGACCCTGTGGGGTGTTCAAGGCAAGAGATGTTCAGGGGTGGTTTCCCATCGCCTGCCTTGTGTCTTAACCCTGGACTTCCCTGGTGGTCTCCCATCAAAGTATTAACCAGGGCTGACCCTGATTAGCTTCCAAGATCTGACAAGAGTGGGCTAGCCTTGGCTATCCAGGTCATGGCTTTTGTGTAATACCCACTGCAAAACACTGCAGTGGATCCCAACTGAGTTTTCCATCAGCACAACAGAAAATTCCTGTTTCTCCCTTTCCATTACAGCTCACTAACCTCCACTAACCACTGGTCATGGGGGATACAGGACCAGTAGGAGGAAGGGCAACTTAATGGAACTACATTAGGGGGAAGGGCAACTTAATGGAAATCTCTGCTGGGGCTCTGCTGGGTTTGAAAGTGCGTATCTAGTGGTGAGAGTGTGATACAGGATTGGAGTTCTATCGGTGTACCTCCCACACCACTGCCCAACTGCCTCTCTGCCTGAGCTTGTAGAGGCTGCCTCGGACCTGGTGTTGAGGACTCCTAGGCTGTCTTGAAGGACGTCAACATCCATGCTGAGGCTACCTTGTTGGGAGTCGCCCAGGATTTCATGGTCCCCATGACACTTATGCACCTGTCTCAGGGAATCATAGGCCCCACACACTGTGCAGGTCACTGGTGTTTTGTTCCGGGAAGGAAGAAGGCGATCTGAAGGGGGGGGGATTGAAGATGGTCCCCTTGTCATGGACAGATCACTACTTCCTTGAATTTAGACTCACAGGGTTGCCAAGACTCAGCAGGGGTGGAGGGTCCATTAAGACAATCCCCTGTAGCTGGTTTTCAGATGGAATTGAAAGATTATCCTGCTCATAAAGTCGGCATCCATTTTATTGCCCTGGTTGACCTCTGGGATGGGGCAATGACTCAGGCGATTGACACAACTGCACCTTGGTGCCATCTCTCAGGTTGAAAAGCTTGGGTAGCCCTTAGCTTATTGTGGGGCTGCAGGTAATGAAAAGATAGGGGGGCAAAGGTGGAGAAAGACATGGGATGACTCTGACAAGACACGGGCTAGACTTCATCTGAAAGCCAACTATGTGGCAGTGATGGCAGCAAAGAAGCAGTGCTTTTCTGCCCCCACTGCATCCGTACAGTGTAGAACTGCAGAACTTTCAGGTAGTCAGGAGCCTGTCAGATTCTGGCCAATGAGAGGAGATGGACCGCTCTGCAGCCCGATGTCATCATTTTGCTAAGTCCATTGCAGATAAAATCTCTTGTATCCATTCTGAAATGGACTCTACCTTAGCAGCCACAGGATTGGATGGCCCCTTTCAGCCTGTGCAGTCTGAGGATGTGGACAGGATTCTTGGCAATTTGAGACCTGTTTGTATGACCTTTCCCCTCCTGGCTGCTTAAATCTGGGGGGGGGGGAGCTAGCAGACTGAGTTCAGGAGACAGTAAAATGCCTCCCTGAGAGATGGGGTGATTGCTCCTGACTTCAAGTGGGCAGTAATGCATCCACTCCTACAGAAATCTTGTTCTGGACCTAGGAGAGTTGAATAATTGCCATCCAGTCTCAAATGCACTATCCTTGAGCCAGGTGATTTAATGAGTGATGGCTGGCCAGCTTCAGCGATTCCTGAACCAAGTGATTTAGATCTATTCCAATCTGTTTTCAGACCCGATTATGAGAGTGAAATGGCCTTATACCGGTGCATGAAATGAGCTGGAAGATGACCCCATTGATCCTCCTGGACCTCTTGGTGGCTTTTTACATCATTCCTCGTGGTATCCTTCTAAATTGCCTTTTGGGACTGGGATTGGGAGGCACTGTTCTGTGGTGGTTCCAGTCTTACCTTGAGGGTAGGCTTCAGTGTGTGGTGGCAGGGGACAGTTGTTCTGCCCTTGGCCTTTGGCCTACAGGGTTCCCCAAAATTCCATCTGGTCCCCCATGCTTTTCAGCACCTATATACAGCGGCTGGGAGAGGTCATCCAGAGATTCGGACTTCATTTCCCACAATGTTGCCCCCTCACCCAGTTGGTGGAGATTCTCCTGGAGCAATTTGTGGTCAGCCTTGCTTTTCACCATCTTGAATAATTTTGTGTCATTTGCAAACCTTGACACTATGCTGCTCACCCCCAGCTGCAGATAATTTATGAACCAATTAAATAGCACTGGCTCCAGTACTGATCCCTGTGGGACCCACTGCTTACTTCTCTCAATTCTGAGAACTGCCTATTTATTCCTGTTTTCTGCTTCCTGCCCTTTCACCAATTTTAATCTGAAAGAGGACCACCTGCCCTTTTAATCCATAAGTGTTCAGCTTACTCAGGAGTCTTTGGTGAGGTAACCTGTCACAAGACTATTGAAGGTCCAAGTAAATAAAGTTTATCATGTCACTGATATCTACATGCTTATTCACTTTTTTTAAGAACTCCAAAAGGTTGGTGAGGCAGAACTTCTCATTGCAGAAGCCAGACTGATTTTCCTTTATCAGACTTTGTTCCTCTGTGTGCCTCATAACTCTATCTTTGATTACAATTTCTATTAATTTGCCTGGGTCAGATATTTAACTGGCTTGTAATTTCCTGGTTCCCTTCTAAGCCCTCTTTGATTTATAACATGACACTTCCCTCAACATCTCCCTTCCTATCCTGCCTATACAAATTATGCCCAGAGATGACTATATCCCATTAACTTCCCACATTCCACAGAGTTTCTGAAACACCCACTATATCTAAATTGTCATAACAACATAAGAGAAGCCATGTTTGATCAGGCCAATGGCCCATCTAGTCCAACATTCTGTGTCATACAGTGGCCAAAGCCCAGGTGCCATCAGGAGGTTCACCAGTGGGGCCAGAATTCCAGAAGGGAGCTCCCACAATTACCCACCAAGCACCAAGAATCACTGCCCCAGAAACAGTGTTCCATCTATACCTTGTGGCTAATAGCCACTGACGGACCTCTGCTCCGTATGTCATTGAACACCCGGCACTCCAGAAAGGCCTAACTTGGCTTGGAAGCTCCTGGGTTTGGCTTATAGACACCTGTGTTTCCTGCCTCCCCTTTGGTCTCCACACAGGGCCTGCTCTGTTGAAGAGGCAGAAAGCAGGGCTCTTCTGTATGTGCCAGGCTTCATCAACAGGAAACCCATACCCTTCAGCATTTCAGGGCTGAATT